GCCCAGAGCCCTAGTCTGTGCCCTCTCCCAAGGGAAACAAAGACTTATCTGTTCTATTTGTGGCTATGCTCCACACAGGGTGACATGGCTGGACAGCCCTCTCTCCACTTGACCTCCTACACCTTACCTGCACAGACTCATCACACCCCGGCTCTGTTCCCTTTGTCCGGGCCTTTCTTCACTTCACACTGACCCACATGGAGTCCCAGGCACCTGGCCATCCCCAAGCTGATGCAGAATCACATGTCTGCTACAGGAGCTCATGGCCAAGCTGTGGTCCCCACACTGGACCTTCTAGGGAACCGGAGTCTGTGCTGCTCACACCCAGACCAGAGGCACAAACAAACTATCCAACCAACACTCCACTTTTCACCCCAGACTACTGACACCCAAACACCTGACTACAGTACAGCAGGTTTCCAGTCCGGCTAAGGATCAATTTTTAATTCAATTTCCTTATTTCTTTCCTCTGGGCAGAGTGTCTATCTGTTCGGAGAAGAGGAAGAAAAAAAGGAAGAAAGAAAGAAAGAAAGCACTCCCTGCTGTTATTAATACTTGATACCAATTCCATGATAAACTAGGTTAAATGTGCTCTTAGTTGTACTTAAAAGAGATTTTAAAATAGCCGACCATTCTTTAAAAATACTTTATCTGCCCCTCCTTCATTGGGAATCAATATAAAAGGATATATTCATTTGTTTTTCTGAATTATATTGCTAAGAGTTTTTTTTATTTCATAAGCTTCACCAAACCCTTTGAAGTATTTATTTATGTAGCTGAAAGAAAGGGACCCACATTTCTGGCAGACAGCCAGATGCAGTGAGTACAGAGGCCGTGAACCACATCAAAAGTGCCTGTGTGGCACACCTGGATGGGGTGGACCCCAGCCCGTGAGATTTGGAGAACACAGCAGAAATGGAGAAAAGAAAAGGTGGCTGGCTGGCTGGGTAATCCCCAAAGGAGGACTCTCCAGCCTGCATCCAGCAGCGGCCCCCACCATCTGCCTCTCCAGGAGAATTACAAACATTTTATAAACCTATCACCTCAGGTGTGGTTTATAAAACCCAAGCATCTGGGGGGCAGGTGGAATCTGATCAGAGCTCCAGGAGCCTGGAGAGATTCAGAGCCGCCCCAGAGCTGCCCCGTCCTTTGGAGAAAAGAATTAAGCTCAGAGGGTGTTGAGGGCCACACACAGCTTCATAGTTTTATGTTATGGTTGCAAGGCTGACCTTATGCCCTGATTCAGCATGCTTTGTTCTGGGCTACACTGCCTCTTGGCGCTGGGGTTACCTTGTTTCTGCCTGTCTTCAAACCTGGCTGGCCTGGTTTAATTCAGCCCACAAACCCAGGTTAATGTCTATAGCATGTTGTATTTTTGCCTCACAGATCACTAATACCAGAGTCATCAGTGCACAATGAAGAATGGATTCCCTTCTGGTGTACAGGTAACTTAACTCTCTTGCAAGCTTCACATAATCATTCAGCTCATCACTCAAAAATCAAAGTTGCCTAGTATATTATACCATATTGATTTGAACCAGTCTTCCGTGTAGCACACCAAGAAAGACTATATGGATTTTGTTCACTCGAACCTTACTCTGTGCATGGGGGTGTATATATGGGGACAGTACACACACATATATGCATAAAAGGCAAGAGGACAACCTTGAGTGTCACTTCTCAAATGCCACCCTCCTCTTTTTCACACACATATATGCATAAAAGGCAAGAGGACAACCTTGAGTGTCACTTCTCAAATGCCACTCTCCTCTTTTTGAAAGAGGGTCTCTCGTTATCCTGAATCTCACCAAACAGACTAGGCTACCTGACCAGCAAGCCCCAGAAATTTCTGTGTCTCTGTTTCCCCAGAGGTGGGATTACAAGTGTGCAGCACCATGTGGGCCTGGCCTGTCTTTTGTATGTTCTGGGGCTCAAACTCAGGTCCTCTTGTTTGTAAGGCAAACACTTTCCCCACTGAGCCGTCTCCCTGGTCCCACACTGATCTTTAACACATATGATGTATATAGCATTAGGTCTTTTAGGAAAATATATCTAGTTTTCTGGGTGCTGATTTGTACTGCATCCTCTGTTACCATCTCGGCAGCCATGATAGGAAAAATGGGCAGTTCACTGCTGAGGACTGAGCAGTATGGTCTGAACTTGAGTCATTTAACCACAGGCAGAATTTGAATTCAAGTCTGAACCCGAAGTCCACAGTCTCAGAAACACACCCCTTATTGACCGCCTGGTGGAGAAGGTAGAAATGAATCAATGGAAACCTAAAACAGACTCTAATAGGTAATTAGAATAGGGCCAAATGTCCTTCCATAGAACCAAGAAGAGGGATTCGTGTCGGGCAGAGGGTCTAAGGAGCTTTTGGGGGAGGCTAAGTTATTTGAGCAACCTAAGCTGAGGGCTGAACAAGCTCCATGTCTTGAGGTCTAGAAACTAGGGGGCCTTCAGGGGAGACTAGGCCACCGCTCCACTTGCTAGGAGACAGCATGTCAAAGATGACCTACATTGCACAGGACTTTCTCAAGTGACACTCAGGTGTTGAAGAGGCCCAACTCTCCTAACAGCTACATTTACTTCTGTTTTGGAGCACAGCCTCCCCCAAGTGTGACTCACACATCATAAATGAGAAAATGTATCAGTGGGGGAAGACAGGGCATGCGGTTCTCATTCCCTTTACTACTCCCAAACCTGCCTCCTTGGGAGGCCCTGTGGGGTCTCTTCAGTTCACTATTCCCTTAATTAAGAGCTGGTCCTGAGGCTCCTGTAAGTGCTGTTCTCTTCTCTCCACCATCCAAGGTACAACAACATACATTGCAACAGACATCCATGTAAACCACAGATGCTGGTTCACACAACCATACATACTCCAGAGAGCCTTAACTCATTACCTGTTTCTCTACCCAACAGCTGCCAGCAAGAGACTATTTCCAGACACTGAACTCACAGCACCATCCTAACATAAGCCTCTTTCTGAAGCAGAAAGGAAGCTAGAGTATTTAGAAGGATGAAGAAGAAAACACTAGGGCAAGTTAGGGGGGACACAAATGCATACCTTTGACTTGGGAAATGATGCTCCAGGAGAACGTACTGCAGAAGGTGCCTCAGCCTACAAATTTGCTTCTGACCAGCAGGGGGATGGTTTCCATAAATGGCCTCCTTGGTGGAGCCTTGAGGATGGAGAGTCACAGTCTGGTGCAGAAGCATGATTTGACCTACTGAAATGGATTCATGGCCCTGCCCATACCTCCCTGAACTTCCTCAGGGCTAAAAGAGCTGCATGTAGGAATGCCTGGGGCCGAGGAGATCACTCCCAGGACAGTTTCAAGTCACCCTCCAGGCTTCCTCTCAGGTAGATAGGCTGTGACCCAAGAGCACTGCTGGGCCAAATGTGCCTCCACACCAGAAACAAAGGAGCTTCCATCCTGGGAACCAATGACCTGCTCTGTTCTCATCTTGTGACCCCCACAGGAGCTCCAGGAAGCATCCAAGGATAGCACCTCCCTCACTGACCTTCACCGCTAATTTGCCTGAGGGGTTCTGGATTATCAAATCTAGTTTACCCAAATGACCTGGCCTTTCACTGAGACAATTAGCTGCTACCAACTTCCAAAGCAAGAAACTGCTGGATTGTGTTGGGGGTGGGGTGGTGATGATGGTCACAAATAACATTAATCCCAAGAAACAAGGACCTGAGCCCCAAGGTGGCATTCAGGAGGCCAGGGCCTAGCTTCATGTCCCTCTCCCAAACAGTGTGGATCCCACTTGAGGCAAACCAACACCTGGCTTTTTGTTTCCCAGGCCCTTGAACTTGCACTTGGAGACTCCAGCCTCCATCTGCCAAAAAGACTTCTGTCCACTTTGTCCATATCCTGAAAGCTGAGGACCTTTGCAACTACCAGCAACCCACTGTTTCATGCCCCCTTTGGTTTAGTGCCTCAGTTTTGGAAAGACACTCCCACCATCCCTTATCCCCCAACCCCACTTTAACTAAGCACAAAATTTTAAGTTGTAGGAAAATAAAAATAAATAAATAAAATCGTTGGAAATATGTCTGGGTCACGTCTGTTACGTGCAAGGACGTCACCGACTGCACAGAGAGACAGTAATTTTTAGAACATATGAGCATTATTTCATGATCTTCCTTCAAACTCCCTGACATAGTCAAGGCCACCTATTTCTTTAGTTTCTGAGGTCCCAGCACTTACAGAGTCATCATAACTCAATATAAACCAATAGTGTGATTCTGCAGGCATCATTTTCTAAGCTCTCTAGAAAGATACTGCATGCCTGGAAGGAATTTAGGTCAGGTCCAGTCCTTAGTCCTTGGACTTGGCTCTGCCTCATCACCCTGTGGGTCTCCCAGCCTTCTCCCCCAGATGGTCCTGGGAAGCCCCAAGATGGGTACAGCTGGCCTTTGGCTCCAGGACCTCCTGAGATCATCCCACGGGCTGCAATTCCCAAAGTCTGGGATACCTGCCAGGTTTCCCCACCGGGACCCTAAATCCTCAACTGCCTGGGAAGGCACGGGTGGGGGGGGGTGTAAAAGATTGGCCACCAGCATCCCTGAAGCGCCCCCGCTGCTCAGGGAGTTGGTGCACTCAACTCTAGTCACTTTCTGGAAATGCTCCAGTCTCAAGCCCTGGGTGCTCAGCCCCCAACACACCCTTCCCCGTTTCCACTGCGTTTCACACACGTCGCGGGTCACTGTCATCCTCCCACCTGCAGACGCACGCCCTCCGCATAGCTGTTCGCGAAGAAGAGCTGTCTAGGTGGTAGCCAAGTTGGGATTGTGCCTCTCAGGCAGGTGACTGGGGTCTCAAGGTCTCCAGTCGCAGGAACCCCGCGCACTAGGAGGGTGGCAAGGACCTGGCTCGGGCACAGCACGACCCGTTCCTCCCGCGACAGTGGCCCAGACTGTCCCGGTCTGCTCAAGGTGCACGGTCACCTCAGGACTCACAGCCATCCACCCACACTGCGCTACTCACCTCCCAGGGACCAGTGCTGTCGCGCCAAACGCGCCGCCGCGGCGACTCCGCATCTCCCGGGCGCCCGCCCGCCGCGCTCCGCTCCGGGGCGCCCGCTGTCCCCGCTGGCGCGAGGGAGGGTGGTGAGGATGCGCGGGGTCAGCGAGATCCTCGCGCCGCAGGCGAGTTCTCCCGCAGCCCGCTGCCCACAACCCGCAGCCCCGCAGCTCTCAGTCCCCGAGAAGAGCAGGAAATCTGTCTGAGTCCGACCGCCTCCAGCGCTGGGCTAGGTCTCCTGCTCCGGCTCCGGCTTCTGCTCCATGGCGGGGGCGGGGCCCTGGCGCTGCGAGGGGCGACGGCGACGCCTGGTGCCTGGCTCTGGGAACGCACCGGGGGCGCCCGCCCTCCTGGGGTTGTGGCCTCTACACTCTATAAGGACAGAGGACGCAGGCGCACGCCCTCTCTGGGGAGTCCCTCCCGGCCCGGACACAGGATACCGTGGAGGGTGCCAAGGGGTGATGACACTCAGACCAGCCTGAAAGAAAATTCAGGGTCCCTTCCTGTTTATGTTTAGCCTTGATTCTGCACACCAGGAAGAAGTCAGGCTGTGTATTTTGCCTGTTTCTCAATTGGTAAAGCTGCCCTGGGGCATCTGGTAACAGGCCTGCTTTAGGGAAGTTGGCAGAGCTGGGAAATGTCCCAAACACTCCCTCCCAGAAAAGAGTGTGCTGTCGCCCCATGGTGGGTGCTGGAGGGTGTACAATTAGTAAGAAATGTGGCAAAATTAAACACAATGGAGCAGAGAGCATCACACAGGGGCCTGACCTGCTTCTCTGGGGACTTACTTCATAGTTATTTCTCTTGGACTATAAAGGGAACTGCCAGCTTGACAAGACCTAAAGTTGAGTCTCAAGGGGAAATTATCTAGATCAGGTTGAGGGATTGGCATGTCTGTGGGGTGCTGTTTTGATTGCTAATTGATAAAGGAAGTATCAGCCCATTGTGGGCAGCACTGCTACTTGGGGCAGGGGTTGGGGGTTCCTGAACAGTATTGGAGAGCAGACGAGATGACAGTAGACAAGTAAGGATGTACTTATTCTCTTTATTCTTTGGATAGATGGTGAGAAAGAGGTCTGTAAGGCATTACCTCACCCAGCATTTTATTACTGTTAGAGTTGCAGAGCCAAGCTGGTGATGGCAGTTTCAAAGAGCCAGCAGTCAATGGCTTAACTCAGCTGGGATCTGTTTGGGACAGAGCTGTGGAAGACTGGAAGGCTGAAGAGCTGTGGAACCTTCCAGAGTACTAAGAATGCTCTTCCCTTCCCATGGTGCTGGGACCAAGCTCATCCTTCTCTTCCCCACACTCCTCTGTCCCTCAGGACTAAAGGGCTTTCTTCCTTTCCTGCCTCACTCACTCCTACTCCTGGGGCTTCTCCAAAGGTGTAACACCATCCATGCACACATCACTCAGAAGCATGCAACCTTCCAGACACCTGTAAGCTCACTTCTTTCAGCATCCTTTGCCAGGTCAGCCCCAGTTCTTGCTCTTGGTTTCTGGACCTTTACTCTGCCTCTTATCCATCTCCAAATCTAACGCCTGCCTAGCATCTGTGTGGGTCTTGAATGCAGTCCCTTCTCTCCCTCTCTGTTTGCTTGGCTATGACAGCATTACCCTCTGATTTCAGACCCCCTGCTTAAAATCCCCTCCTTGAGCAAAATCCTGACTAAGTGAGGCTGTGCTCATCTTGTGCAGTGGTGCCTAAGCCCCTACTCATTCATCTAATGCAGCCACAGCTCCTCTTTCTCAGAGTTTGAGAAAAGCCCCTTCCTTCCTGCACCCTCTCCCTGCTACCTTCCTACCAGTTGCCTTCCAATGGCCTCACACCCATCTCCTCTCCCACAGCCCTCATCACTGACCTCACTTACTGAATCAGGGTTTTTTTTTTTCTTTTTGTTGTTTTGAGGCAGGGTCTTACTATGTAGTTCTGGCTGACCTGGAACTTACTATATAGACCAGGTTGGCCTCAACCTCACAGAGCTATTCCTGTCTTTGCCTCCCAAGTGCTGGGATTAAAGACATGAGCCACCACACCCAGCATTGTTTGCTCCTTTGGTGTCTGTCATTTCTCTTTTCCTTTGCCCCAGGGCTAGAAATGCCATCAGCCCAGGCTATGCCTGTCTCTACCCTTACTGCTGCAACATGAGACACACCTAACAGCCAGAACATGCAGTGAACAAGTGGACTGGCAGAGCAAAGGAGGGCAGGACCCAGCAGGCAGCAGCAGGAAGCCTTGTTACCTGCCCAGAGCCCAAAGGGGCAGGTAACTCCCTCCTGAGTATGCCCTCATGGAACAGCTCAGGTTGGGTGTGGCCAGGTGGCTGAATGACATCACCCAGCTCTGGATTTTATTGCCCTTAGAGCTGCAGAGCCAAGCAAATGTTAAAGCCGGCAAGGGTTTCAAAGCCCTGATAAGCTTGTTAACACTGCAGGGGTGGGGAGGCAGAGACTGCTAGCCACCAAGGGGAGAGAATATGTTGCCTTAGTCAGACATCTGCTGTTGGAACGTGACAGCCTTGAGAACATGATGAGGAGGCAGATGGCTCTTATTTCTCAGTAATATTTGCCCTGTTGGACCCCAAATGTTATTCTAGGAATAAGTGGTATCCCTTAGCATCTTCTGAAGTCTGCAGACATCCTGCCTTTCAGTCACATTATCCTTCATTGTATTTGCTCTTCATTTGGGCATATGGCTCCTATTAGAATCAGCTAACTTCTTCCCCCCCATCCTAGACTACAAGGAGCCCCCTGCCTCATGCTATCCCAAATGCCCTGTCACTCCTGTCTTTTAGTACCTGAGCCATAGTCCTTCTCTATCCAGAGACTCCTCTGCTTTACTGAACCCCCTCTGAGGCCTTCCATGGACCCTTCTGCCTCCTGAGTTCTCTTCCATATCTGGCTGTGCTTTTTTACCCTTAGAACACAGAAACATCCAGGCAGGATTCCCAGAACTGTGTCATCACCAGATCACATGTACTGTCTTCCATTGTACTCAAGGACTTGACTACTGGGTTTCTCTTCAGTAATTGTCTTAGGGTTTTTATTGCTGTGGAGAGATACCATGACATGGTAACTCTTATCAAGGAAAACATTTAATTGGGGCTAGTTTACAGTTTTAGAGGTTTAGTCCATTGTGATCATGGCAAGAAACATGGTAGCATATTTCTGGTGCAGGAGAAGGAAGGGAAAGTTCTACATCTTGATCCACAGGCAACAGGAAATGAACTGCCTACCATACTGGGCATAGCTTGAGCATATAAGACCTCAAAGCCTACCCTCGCAGTGACATGCTTCCTCCAACCTGGCCATACCTACTCCAACAAGACCGCAGTCCTAATAGTGCCACTCTCTATAGGCCCAGAATTCAAATATATGAATCCATGGGCATCATACATCTCCAAAACACCACATTCCACTCCCAGGTTCCCATAGCATCAAAAGTCCCCATAGTCTATCACAGTCTCAACAATGTTCAAAACTCCAAAGTTCAAAGTCTCTTCTGAGATTTATGCAGTCTCTTAATTGGAATCTTCTATATAATGAAAATGAAAAGCAGATCACACACTTCCAACATATAATGGCACAGGATATACATTACTATTCCAAAACAGAGGAAAGGGAGGATATTGAGTAAATATTGGACAAAAGCAAGACCAAAACCCAGCTGAGCAACTCCACACTCTGCATCTTCATATCTGATGTCAAAGCGCTCTTCAGATCTCCAATTCCTTTCATCTTCATTGACTGTAACATGCCTCTTTCTCTTGGGCTGGTCCCACTCCCTGCTAGCAGCGCTCCTCAGCAGGTATCCCATAGCTCTGGCATCTCCAACATCTTAGGGTCTTCAAGGCAATCCAGGCTTCACCTTCACAGCTTTATGAAATGGCCTCTAGGCTTCCATTCAGGGGCACCCTGGCATATGCCTGGTCTTTCCAGTTTTCTTCAGTCATGGAGGAAGATTCCATAACCCTTTTCTTTGACTCTAAAGTTGGAACCACATGACTGAAGCTTCCAAGTTCTGCTGCTTGTTGGGGCTGGAATATTGCCCCTTTGTTCAATAACATCTTCACCAGCTTTCTTTCTTTAATAGTTTCCTTCATTGCTTGCTCTGCAGACCAGACTGGCTTCAAACTCAGAGATCTGCCAGCTTCTGCCTTCTGAGTGTTGGGATTAAAGGTGTGCACCACCACACTCAGCTATAAGGTTTTCTTTAATTTCTTCACAAGTTGGAAATTTATCTGGATTGGATCTTGCCCTGAGGTCACCAATCCCTTCATTACATTTCTTAATCTGCTTATCTCCTTAAACATAGGATTTAGCTCCAATCCATTTCCTGGTGCCCTTTTCTCCTCAAATTGTACATTTTGCATTTTTTTTTTTCCTTTTTCAGCTTGCCCCTTTCATTACAAGTCTCTTCATTAGAGTTAACACTAATAAACACAAAAAATGGTCTATAATAGGCTGTTTTGAGATATCCTCTGCCATTGGAATGAATCCAAATCTCTTTGTTTTTACCTTAGGCAGACTCTTCTGACAAGGGTAAAAATCAGCCAATTTTCTACCAAACTATCACAAGAAAAATCTCTAGGCAACATACCCAAATTCTTTCCCTCTGAAATCTCCTAATCCAGGCCCCAGAGATCATCAAATCACATTCAGCACCACTATCTTCCATTGTCCTACTAGTATGGCCCATTAAATAGCACTTAAAGCATTTAACTGCTTTTCTAATCCACAGTTTCAAGACTCATATTCCTTCAAGCAAGAGAATGGTCAGTCCTATCACAGCAATACCCCAGTCCCTGATACCAACTTCTGTCTTAGGGTTTCTATTGCTGTAAAGAGACACCATGACCACAGAAACTCTTTATTTGTTTGTTTGTTTTTGAGACAGGGTTTCTCTGTATTGCTTTGGAGCTTGTCTTGGAACTAGCTCTGTAGATCAGGCTGGCCCCAAACTAACAGAGATCCACCTGCCTCTGCCTCCCAAATGCTGGGATTAAAGGCATGAGCCACCATTGCCTGGAGACCACATCAATTCTTATAAAGGAAAAGATTTAGTTGGGTGGCTTGCTTACAGTTCAGATGTTTAGTTCATTATCATCATGGTGGGAAGCAAGGCAGCATGCAGGCAGACATGATGCTGGAGAAGGAGCTGAGGGTTCTTACATCTTGACCCACAAGCAACAAGAAGTGCTCTGAGCCACTGGGTGTGACTTGGGCATATATGAGACTTCAAAGCCCACTCTCACAGTGACACACTTCCTCCAACAAGGCCATAGTTCTAATAGTGCCACCTCCTATAGGCCAAGCATTCAAACACATGAGTCCATGGTACCATACCTATTCAAACCACCACAGTAACTTTAAAAATTTATTTTTATGATTTGAAGAAATTATGTGTATGTGTATGTCTATATGTGAGTTATACGTACTTGATTGTAGGTTTTTGTGCATTCTAGAAGAGTATGTTAGGTATTTTGGAGCTAGAGTTATAGGCAATTGTAATCTGTCCCTTGTGAACCCAAGTCTTCTGCAAGGGTAGCAAGTACTCTTAAGCACTGAACCATTTCTCCAACCCTGCAGTAACTTTTTTTGGACATAGGATTTCCTGGAGCCCAAGCTAATTTCAAACTTCATATATAGCCAAGGATGGTCTTGAACTCCTGATCCTGCTAGAGTATAGACATGTGCTACCACGTTTTGCTTTAGGAAGTGTCATTAAGAATCACATCCAGAGTTTGGCATGCTGCACAAGCACTCTACCAACTGATGACATCTCTACCCCCTTTCCATAGTGTCTTGAGAGTGTTTATCCAGCTTGAAGGCTTCCATCTGAACTCAAATGTTGTGGCCAGAAATACTCGCTTGGAGGATAAGCAAAAAAGGGGCCAAACTAATGTTTAAAAAAATCATATAGAATTTGCTTTTAAACATATAGAGAAAGATTAACATAAAATTACTTGACTTTAGGAGAAAGAAATTGGAGTTTAGTGACTGACCACAGGGCATAATGATCAAAAAAAAAAAAAAAAAAAAAAAAAAAAAGAGGGAGCATCCATTGTCTGTGGTTTCATTCAGAGCATGTCCACATAAAGAGGCATGGGTCTTATGATCTCTAGAACACACAAGAAGTTTTAACATCTATTATCTCAATATTATTCCCTCTACCCCTCTTTTTATGAGATAAGCCCAAACTGACAGTTCTGGACCACTGAAATCCAAAGAGCTGACTCTTTGCAGGAAGAATCTCTATTTGCCCAGAAAACAAATAAAAGAAAAAAAAAACCAACAAAAAATGAACCCAAACAAGCAGAAAGTTACACACTAGTCTGGGTTCTCACAATATTTTAATTCATCTTTCTTGAGTTTCTTTTTACCGATGAACTATATGCATATAATGTGAAGATCCTAAGGACACAGTACAGTGAGTACAGACAGGTACATAGAGTAACATGCATACCCCTTCCAAGATACTGACAGTTCTGGCAAAGAGAGATAGGTCAGTTGGGAAAGTGCCTGTCTCAAAAGCATGAGGACCTGAGTTTACTCACCACCCAAGTAAAAAGCCAGAGGAGGCAGTGTGCTAGCTGTTTATAATCCCATTACTGAGGGGATGGAAACAGATTCCTAGGGTTTGCTGGCTTGCTAGTCTAGTCAAATCAGTGATGCTCAGATACTAATGAAAGACTTTACTTTCCATAAAACAAGTTGGATGACTCCTGAGAATCAACCCCTCCCTCATACCTGCATACATCCACACACACACACACACACACACACACACACACACACACACACACACACTGACATTTTGGTGCCCTAAAACACCTGCTCCTGTCTCCTTTCAGAAAATGATGCATCCCACAAGAACAGCCATTATTCTGGTGTCTGTTACCACTGATGGTGTTGCCTGCTCTCTCTCCCTTTATAGGAATGTGATTAGATAGTATGTTATATATAGGCAGATGGCTCTTTCTAAACACTGTGTTATTTCTAGTTTCTTTCACACAGCAAAATTTTTTTTGAGATTTGCCCTTTTCATGCCTATCCATGGTTAGGTAACATGCATTTTTTACCTCTAGTTTTGTTTTCTGATTTTTTTTCTTTATCACTGCTTGTAGAAATATGGTTTAAAGTGTCTCACTGTGACTTTCTACCTTATTGAAAGCAAAATATATTTTTTTTCTTTAAATCAGAGTTGGGCTGGAGAGATGGCTCAGTGGTTAAGAGCATTTTGTGCTCATGCAGAGGACCTCGGTTCAGTTCTCAGCATTCACACAGCAGCTCACAATTATACAGAACTCTATTTCCAAAGGATCTGACTCCCTCTTCTGGCCTCCACAGGTACCAAGCATTCCTGTGATATACACACACGTACATACAGGCAAATCGTGCATATATGTGAAATAAAAACAGGCAAATCTTTTAAACTTTTTAATCGAAGTTGCAGATTTTTCAGTCTTTACTTTTTCAAAACTGTTTCCCCTTCCACTTCTCAAATGCTGGAGATATGTACGTGATATTTCCTAATGTTGTCTCGTGGGTCATTAAGCCAATGAATTTAAATAGTTCTTTAATTTTTTTATTTATTCTTTTCTCATATATTACATCCTGACCACAGTTTCCCCTCCCTCCTTTCCGCTTAGTCCCTCTTCCCTCCCCCCCCCCCGCCTCCCCTGTCCCCCAGGTCTACACCTTATTGTGACGTGTATCCACTCACTGTCTTTCTCCTGTGTTAATTTTTTTCTGTTAAATCTGTTCAGTAAACTTTTCACTTCAGATCATAGAATCCTCATTTGATTGTTTAAAATATATTTTAATTTCTCTGAAGAGGTTTCCTGTTGTTCTAGTTTGCTTTTCTATGGTTGTAATAAACACTGAGATCAAAGGGGGAAGAAAGGGCTTATTTCATCTGACAAGTTATGGTCTATAATTGTGGGAAGTAAAGCAGAAACTCAGGATGGGAACTGAGACAGAAACCATGGAGGAACTCTGCCTACTGCCTTGCTTTCTCTGGCCTGCCTGGATACCTTTCTTATACAGTGCTGACCCACTTGTCCAGGGATGGCACTGCCCTCAGTGGACTCGAGTCTCCTGAACCAATTAGCAATTAAAAAAGTGTCCTACAGATGTATCCACTAGTCAATCCAATGGAAGCAATTCCTGAATTGAGGTTCCCTCTTCCCAGATTTATCAAGTTGACCTGAAGCTGACTGACATATTTGTCCATTATATCATCTTTTCCTTTAAGTCCTTTAACATTTTTATAATAGCATTTCTGATTCTTATCTCATGTTTTAAACATGGATATTATCTTTGTGTTTCTACTGATGGGGGGGATTAAGGATTCCTTGTTATTTTCTTGCTTTGTTTTCATTTTACCGTATCATTTGCAACTTCTTGTTGCCTGAAGGCAATGCTCTAGAGTGTTCTAGATGACTTTTAGCGTTGTTAGGATGTGTCTGTAGAAACCCTTCCTCCAGGAATAAGACAGCTCAGGCTTAAGGACCAGTCCATTCTGCTTCCTGGCCTGAATGACTGAGGCATACCCTTGGTTGACTGGAATTTTGAAGAGTGACAGCACCATCCAACCTCTGGAACCTCACATGATACTCATAGCCCTCACATGATGGCCTGAGAGAGTCTCACCCTGTAAATGTCTAGCAGAGTCTTTAACTGAAGCTGTAAGGGGGTTAGAATGGCTTCCTGAGCCACATTTGTGCATAACCAGAATCTTGTTCAATGCATTCCAAATGCACCAGAAGCCACAAACTCGATTTCAGTTCTTCAAGCAGATACAAAGGTTGTCCTATTTATGCTTTACTTTAGCAGCAGTTTAAGGTTCCCAGGCAGTGGGGGGGAAGAGGGGCTAATGTGGTGACTTGATCCATCCATCTATCCATCCATCTATCCATCCATTCACCCACCTATCCCTGTAGTGACAGAAGTGTGGCATTCATTATCCTGTTCTGGCTATGGCTGAATGCCTACCTTGCATTTTCTATTTCAATACCTACCTGATTGTTCTATAATTATCTGTTTGTTTCTCTTTCCTACAGAAGTGAAGTAGCCGAATCTAGTGATTTGTGGAATTCTGATGTGCATATGCTATGCTTTATAATCAAAGAATACAATGACAAGTGAAATTAGAGAATAAGATGTGAACCAGTTTGTAATCTCAAAAAACAAGTGGGCAAGTATCATGGAGGACTGGAAATGACTGCTGGGCCATAAGGACAGGCCTTAGAGTTTATGGTGTTTTGAATGAAAATAGCGCCCCCCACAGACTCACATATTTGAAAGGTTGGTTCCCAGCTGGTGGACTGTTTAGGAAGGATTAGGAGGTATGGTCTTGCTGGAGAAGATGTGGCCTTGTTGGAGGAGATGTGTCACTGGGGGTGGGCTTTGAGATTTCAAAAGCCCATGTCAGACCCAGTCTTGCTCTCTTTCTTTGCCTCCTCCCTGCAGTTTTGGGTATAAGCTCTTAGTTACTCTTCCAATATCATGCCCGTGGGCTGCTATAATCACCAGCATGATGATCATGGACTGATCCTCTGAAATTATAAGTAACTATAAGTAAGCCCCCAATTAAATGCTTTATTTCGTAAGTTGCCTTGGTCATGGTGTCCCTTCACGGTAATAGAAAAGTAAAAAGACAGAGATCTAAGAAAGCAGAGTAGTAAAGGCTGATAATGACACACCTTCTGATGTTATCATTTAAATAAGATGTAAATAAGATGCCTTTTGGAAGAGGGAATTTGAGGGCTCCCTTCCCAATAAGGTCTAAGAATAAGGATGTATATATAACTTAGAAGGGTGAACCTTTCTCTTTCTACTCCACAGGACCTTGAAAAAGGCTTGACGTTTGCTTTGAGGATCTCAGTAAAAGATAAATCCATCATAAAAGGTGATTCTTGAAGGCACTGGGGCCTTGTGCTATCATTCCTTTGGGGTATAGGTCTCTATTCTCATCATTTGAGAATTCAAATTATGTCCTCACACAGTTGAACGGGTTTCCATGGCATGATAAAGGTTATAAATTAGTCATGTGGTTGAGGAAGTCCTGGGAGGACTGTCCAGCCCTTCTTTATGCTGGTTGGCTGCAGCCATAGCAACCACCTGTTGTAGACCAAAGTTCAGTGTCTGCACATCTTTATGGCCTTGTTCACAGTTCAATGTTCAGGAGCATAAAACTTCCTAAGAAGACACAGGCTTTCCATTCACAACAGAATACTAGACTTCTTTCCTAAACACAGGGCCCCAAATGATAAGGCCCCCAAATACTCTAGGGTGGTTGTTGTTTTATTCCAGAGAGCTATTTTACTTAGAAAATGCCAACCACACAGAAGACATTGATGTTCCTGTCTGGCTTTCTCACAAGCCTTGGCTCTGTTATTGTCATCTGCTCGATTCTGGGGACACAGGCATGGGTCACCAGCACTATTTTCTTCACAGATGTTATTTCTAATGGTACCATTGTCATCACCTATGGTCTTTTTCGTGGTACTAGTGCTCGGCATTTGAACGAAGGCCTTCAAGATCTGGACAAAAACTTTGATGGTAAGTGATCACCTAATCTGAATGGGGATAGCAGGAGTGAGTGAGATTGACATCATTTTGGAATTGGGCTAAATAGCCATCAAAACTAATCTCTTCAAAACCCCAAGTTAGGCTATCAGTGGGCTAGCTCATAATCTTGAAAAGCTGTTTATAATTACTTCCGGCTCCTTGGCATTGGTTATCTTGTAATTGTCAGAGTCTAAACCATTCTAGCAGCAGCTGAGCTTGAACGGTACATATATAGTTTGTTGACAAGTAAATACTTAAGTTAAAGTATGTGGCAGTTTTATAGTGTTTAATAGCCAGCAGCATCAGCATTTTAAAGGATGTTGACCATGGATTTTGACATGGGACAACCAGCTCCATCCAGAAGTTCGTAAGTAATCGAGTAGGAAGAATGTGTAGCAGAAACCATCAATATCCCATTTGTGTTTCTCAGCTTCTTGAACTTACACTTTTGTATCCAAATTATCTCATTGTTAGAAATGACATTTAATTCTTATTAATTCTATCACTTACTGGAATTCCTATTTGTTCCTCATTTCTGATATAATAATGTCTTGCTCTCAATAGATATAAATTAAGAAACTATTGAGGATAAGTGAATGTAGCTACTTGGGATTTGCATTTGAAATCTGACATTATGGTGTTTTGAGATGTAAAAGCCATGTTTGTACATTGTATAGCATCTAAGTGGGCTTTGAGTTTCACAGTGAGGTGTTCAGGGTCTGTACAGCTGATTGGGAGTATTTAACCTTCTAAGTATGTACCACCTACTACCTTATGTCAGTGTAATGTTTGGTGTCCATACTCTAGGATGGAGTTCCAGTAGGTTTATGACTTCGTTAACAAAATGGTTTCCGTAAATCCAAGGCAATGTGTTTCTAGGTACCCATGGGTCTTTGAGTGGTAGGAAAATTACATCTTCCCTGAGGTTTCAGCTACTTATTCCCTTCCCTGTTGCTGGCCGCAGCCTCTCAGGAGTGTGAAGAGATCTGTTCTACAGCAACCAGGAGTCAAGGTTTCAAAGGCTCTTTAGTGATACTCTTTTCAAAACCAAAACTATGCTTGTTTGTGAATCTTTCAGTGGATTTAAATGCTTTATATTTGAGACAGAAGTCTACAGTGTTTGCTTGGGTCAGCTGATTCCATCTAGAGATTGATGGATTCAATGGAAGACCGGAGTCTCTAGCTAGGGAGGCCCAGAGAAGTACAGAGACTGTCAGGCCTGGCAAGCCAGCTCTACATGACTGGGAGTTAGCATGCTGGTGTCTAGAGGGCAAGAACAGCCTTAGTCAGGGGGAGCACAGCATGGGGTCAGTGCCAGCTGGACCTTTTCCCTTAGTGTACCAACAGAGGCAGAATGCTTGTGTCACCTGTGCCTGTTTCTGTCTGCTTTTATCCTTTGCTCCTGGAAAGCCACATGTTAACAACCCCTCACACTCATCATCCAACCTCCCACTGCTCCAGAGGGTCAACAACTACCTAGGGGAGGAAGATGCTCTACAGTTACTGGTTAGCATCTAAGGGTCATTCAGGGACTATGGGATTTTCCATACCTGTGACTGTGGTAAGCACTGAACATGTAAGCAGTTTTCCTAGACAGGAATTCATCCTTAGAATATATAGGCAATGCTAAAGATCCCCTGTTGTTTACCCTGTCAACCCAGTATTTACAGTGGGACACTTTACTCTCCTGCCAGTAAGTCAGAGCTGCAACGTACATCATTAGCCAATCATTGGTAGCAAACTGAAATCTGTATAAAACCAAATTCGCATTGTCCTGTTTGGCACTGAAGATGGCAGATACTTTGCCTTGAAAAGTCAAGTGTTTCAGCTTTGTGGCTAAGGCCAGGACACACTGAAACCCTCAGGCAGTGATGCATATCGCCAGGCCCTGCTATGCTTCTACAGGGAGGTCTAACATATTGTGTCTATTTGGACTACAGAGTTTGAAATGAAAGAGCAGGACAGGCAATAGTGTTTGGTTTAAAGCATCAAAATCGTCCCCCTAACAATGGATCAATGAACAGAGATGATGCCTAGTGAGCCCTAGTCAGGAAACTTTCTGTCATAGAGCTGGGCTGGCAATGAGCTCAAGTAGGCTAGATGAGTCCTGGTTTGTTCAATATCCAGAGAAGTAATCGTTTAGCTCTGTCTAGTCATGAGTGAAGGTCTTTGCTACTCCTAAAGTTTGCAGCTGTATAATTTTAGCTCAAAATACCTGCTATCTGAGTGAAGGTGTTAGACTTAGGTACTGATAGGATTTGTAGTTTCTATAGTGAAATTCTCCCTATCTAGGGCAAGGGCAAGCTCCTTCTCCACTGAAATGCAACACCCTGCCCTCACGTAAGTCTCTACAATAGCTGGAGATGAGGTAGGAGGACCTGTGCTTACACTCACAAGGGTGTGCCCCCCCATTGGCTCTTGAGTGCTTTATAACAGGATCAAGATGATGTCAACCCCTCTGAGAATGTTATCAGGGCCTAAGGGGATGGCAGGAATGGGGCAATTTGTCACTTGGATGTGGTGTCCCTCAGAAAGTGATCTCCAGGATTACTCAGCCTACATCCTGACCAAGCATTTTTAAGAATAACTTTGGAATTTCAAGGAATGAAGTTTCTTTTCCCATGGCACTAGGTCTCTTTGATCTTGGTCACAAGATCATATATATATGTATGTATGTATGTATGTATGTATGTATGTATGTATATATATATGATGCATTATTTCTCATGTAACTATGATACAAAACACCTAAGAGAAACAATTTAAGGGAGAGGAGGTTTATTTTTGGTTCGTGGTCTCAGAGGGATTCTAGCTCATCATGGCAGGAAGGGCATGGCAGAGAAGGTTAAACCGTGATGGTGGGAGTGAGAGATAGTTTCCTCATATAGTGTGGACCAGATAGCAGAAAGCACAACCCAGAATTAAGTTGGCTATAACCTTCAGAGGCCTGTCATTAGTACTCTACTTGTAGTAGCCAGTCTGTGTATCCAGAAGTTTCCACAGCCCTCAAAACTGTGCCACAGGCTGGAGTCTGAGTCTTGAAAATTTGAGCCTGTGGGGGACATTTTAGTCAATACATAACATCAGGTGTGATGGTCAACATTGATTACCAACCTGATGGGAAACAGAGTTACCTAGGAGACAAGCCTTGGGCGTGTCTGAGAGGGAGTTTCTATATTGGCTTATTTGAGGTGAGAAGATGCACCTTAAGTGGGTGGTATAATCTCATGGATGGAGGTTTTGGACTACAGAAAATGGGGAAGGTGAACTGATCACTGGCATTCACCCCTTTTTCTGCTTCCTGACTGCAATGTGTCTCAAGCTCCTGTGGCCATCTTTTCCCCACCATGAAGGACTACATTCTCAAACTGTGAGCCAAAATAAGCCCTTCTTCCCTTCGATTGCTTTCATTAAGCACTTGATTGTAGGAATGAAAAAAAGTGATTAATACACTGGGTGATTTTAGGACAAAAGGTTGTAATTCTGACTCAGGGTTGATGGACACCAATCTTGCCTTGGCCAGATACTAGGGGGACACAAGAGTTGGGCATTTCTTTCCTGCCCCTTGGCAGTAGGGTGCTTGAAATTGGTGTTTTTGGTGATAGCTCAGGACATAACCTCAAGGCAGGCTGAGGACAAGTGTCAGGCTCATGGGTTTCTGATTGCTGCACCTAGACCAAAGACCAACTAACACCAGTGGACTTTCACCATCTGGCTCTCCTCTGTCCCCAATCTCCACTGGCTCCCACTCCTTTTCTGTGATTTCACCATTGCACTTAACTGAACTGAGAATGTAAATACAGCAAGAAACTAATTGCAAAGTAAAGAACAGATGAAGTTGATTTCTTGAGACTATGAAGACTCCCTACTTCTCTACCCTGACTTCATCTCAGGTATCAGGACATGTTTCCTGGAGAAGGGCTGTTTACCCTTGTCCCTTCTTAGAGATATTACCACATTGGAAGAAGATGGAGGGAACGGGGGGACCAAACCAGAGGTCTTAGTCATTTTTCTCCCAAGACAATGTTGGCAATTGTCCAAGAGGTTGAAGTGCTAGCTGTAATTTCTTGGGAATGCCCAGGTCCTGCTCTAAGACCTATCAGTACTGTGATGTCCACTAATGTAAGCATCACACTGGGACAAGTCCATGGTGGCCAGGTAGGTGGCTGAGGGAGTGGAATCAGTTCCCACCTGAAGAATCAGTTTTAGTTACTGGTGTTGTTTCTGTGACAAAATATCTGACAAAAGCGATTAAGGAAGACAGGACTTGTTCTGATTCACAGTTTGAAAGCATAGTCCATTATAGTGGGAAAGTCACTGTGGTGGGAGCATGAGACTGCTGGCCAATCACATCCACAGGTAGGAAACGGGGGGGGGGCAGGGGGAGTGAATGCTGGTTCTCACTTTTAATGTGGATGGCCCACCTCACTTAACCCAATCTAGAAAGTCCCTCACAGTCGTGCAAAGAGGTTTGCTTCGCTGATAGTTCTAGATCCTGTAAGTTGAGGGTATCAGCCATCACACTCAATGACTATGAACGCACCGAAAACAAGATCTGGAGGTGGAGGGCAGATGGCAGGAGGGACCTGAGTGAATGCATCCTCCTTCTGGGGAGTTGGGTGTCTGGCTGCCCGGCTGAGATGTCTACTGTCATCTCTGCAGCCGCCTGTTCTTGGACTCTTTCTGAGGCCACCGGAATCAGGGCAATTAGCTCCAATTGTGAAGGGACTTCTGATTCAGAAGCTTGTCCCCTGAAAGAAAGAAAAAGAACACCATGTATCTACTAATTTTATGGGGAGGGAGCAGCTGTCAGATGCTGAGAGGGTTATTGTTACTGCATTCTAGCTAACTCTCACCAAACTTTCAGCTATCATTGTCTGAGTTCTGGGGCAGGAGCTGGAAAGACAGAGCTGTCACATCTAGGCAGCAGGGAATTCAGAAATAAGTTTTACAATGCAGCAGTTAAAATTAAAATGAATTGCCCCCCCCCCAAAGTACGTAGGAAAGTATGAGTCAACAGCCCCAAATTAACTCTCTTTGGAAAATTATGACTGCTAAATCTTATTGAAAGTCAAGGCAGAGCTAAATTTGATTGCCATTTTCTTTTGCTTTTTGTGCATGTGTGTCAAGTGCAAGTGCTTGTTCATGACTGTGCACATATACATGGAAGCCAGAGGTCAACACTGTATGTTTCCCAATTATGTCCCATCTTGTTTTTTGTTTTTTTTTTTTTTTTTAATTTTTGTGTATGTATCTGTGCTGGTACAAGTTTATGTGCGCCACATGGATGAAGGTACTCAAGGAGACCAGAGGAAGGTATTGGCTCCCCTGTAAGAAGACCCTTCGTGTAGGTGCTGGAAATGGAAGCTAGGTTCTCTACAAGAACAGTAAGCATTCTTAACTGCTGAGCTGTCTCTCTAACCCCCTCTGCCTTGTGTTTTGAGACAAGGTCTCTAAGGGAACCTGGAGCTCACCGATTGATTCTGTTGGGCTGGCTGGCAAGCAAGCTCATCTCCCCAAGGCTGGGATTACAGGCTCTGTGCCTGACTTCTTTTTAAATCATGGGCTCTGAGCACTGGGTTGAACTTAGGCTCTTATGCCTCCAGGGCAAGCATTTCATCCACTGAGCCATGCCTGCTGCCCTTCGTGGTCACTTCTTAGTGGGATATTGCAATTGCAAATGAACATCCACTTACAGCTCTAGATCAGCCTGTGAAGCAGAGGGATATCCAGAGAATTCCAGGTGTTTGGGACACAGGGCATGTTCCGTATACTCAAGTTTCTGCTCGTGGCTTAAATATTCCAGTTATTTCCTTGACTCAGAACTCTCCCAAGGAAAGAGAAAGCTCTTTTGTCCCCGGCCAACTTCCCTTGAGATGGAGGGTTTCCTCCCGGCCTGGCTGCTGGAGAAGGGGAAGTGGATCCACCTTGAAGTAATGAATGGCTGACACATCCACAGGGACCAGCCTGGACCTCTGGCAGGGTGTGTCTCCCTAGGTCTGTTGCTTTTTCCTATTCTCCTTCTGATGTCACCTCCCTTCAGTTTCAAAATAAGCACGTACTGAGTTAGTCCGAGCAAAACCTCCCAAACATGCCATTTACATAAGAGTGTGGAGAAGCAGGCAAGACACTCCACTTGGTTAAGTCAGGGACAAGTGCAGCCTCAGTCCAGGTGGCCTTTGACAGCCTCATTTGGGTTACAGGGCAGAGAATGTAGGCTAGGGATCACTCCTCCAAAGGAGTCATTGACAGAAGTCACTGAACAGTCCAGTCACCATAGCGACAAGGAGATGCTGTCTCTGGAAACTGAGCTTTGCCCTTGTGCCTCTACGGAGTGAGATGCTCTACAGTGGGGGTGGGAGGTCATGGTCCACTCCCTGTCAAGCTGGCTCTGTTCTCCTGGGGTTACAAGGGATGCATGTCAATGTTTAGCAGAGGCCACAGCTGAGTTCCTGTCTCTTTGCCCCTCTTTCCTGCACATCCCTTTACCCTTTAAGCCAGTGCCCCATATTATGCAGTAGTATCTATCTGTTGCTGCTGCCCTCAGGCCACTTCCTTCCAGGAGATGCCTGCTCTGGGCTCAATCACACATTACTCGGGATGCCTTCTCTTTCTTCATGGGGAACTTTTGCTAACACCCATTTTATTTTTTAGTCCCACCTCTTTCATGCCTAATTTGTCCAATAGGAGGACATTGCAGATTTAGAAAATATAAATATGGGGATTTAAAACTTAAGATGGTCTCACCCTAACTGGGTTGAACACATTCTCTTTCTGTCTCTGTCTCTCTGTCTCTCTGTCTCTCTCTCTCTCTCATTTTTTTTCCTGTATTGCTTTGGAGCCTGTCCTGGAACTGGTTCTGTAGACCAGGCTGGCCTCAAACTCACAGAGATCCACCTGCATCTGCCTCCCAAGTGCTGGTATTAAAGGTGTGCACCACCAAGGTCCGGCTGAGCACATAACTCTTACACAAGGTAAATGTCGGATCCTGGGGTCCTGTGTCCACTTAGATCACTCAGAAGCATAATTCAGTAAAGAATTACTTATTTTACTTTATGTTTTTCCTGCATGTATATGTGAGTGCCATGTGCCCACAGAAGTTGGAAGAAGGTGTTGACCCCTCTGGAACTGGAGTTTACAATTATTTATTGTAGGTGGTAGGATCAAACTCATGTTCTCGGCAATAGCAACCAGTGTTCTTAATCACTGAGCCATTTCTCCAGGCCCTCTTCCTTCTTCCCTTCTTCCCTTCCTTCTGTCCTTCTTTCCTTCCTTCCTTCCTTCCTTCCTTCCCTTGTCTGAAGATGACTGACAGCATTATCATACATACCTCCAAGTATTTGTAAAGCACATAAGAAATAACACTACTCATGTGTTCAAAAGAAAGCAGGTTCCCACTTCTTACACAAGTCTCTCAGTCACATGGGGACTTTCATTTTCCCTGAGTAGTCAGAAAGGGGACATGGGTGCCTGGTGGGCAGTTCCACAGTGAGCATCTGGAGCAGTGGTGAAATCAAGGGCATACACACAGAAAACTTCTCAATAATTCTCTCCGTACAGGGACAGACAGGAGCTCCTTGTAAGGAGAGTGATGGTGGCACACAGTAGGACATGGGTCAGTAGGTGCTTTGAAGCTCCTCCTGTCCCACAGGAGCCGGCACACACCGGCCTGGAAGCAGAGAATCCAGATCTGCCTGGCTACTTCCTGTTACTTAAAACTGTGCTGAGCAAGGATGTGAACATCTCCATATCCTTGGGGACCAGAGAAGCAGGAAGAGGAAGGAGCCTTTGGCTAGTTCTTAATCACTCCTCTGTGGCTATTATGGCTTGCAGTTCCCAGTGATTTTGTTAGTGTTGTTTTAGTCAGCACAACAATCTTTCTTTCCCTGGTTGTCTTTTCCTTGGGACATCACAGACTATTTCTAAACACGTCCAAGTGGGGTCCTCACACACACTGACAGCCATTAGAGATGCTCAGGGCACCTAGGAAGAGCATTCCTGCCATGCCTGGCCTTTTGTGCGTGAGTAGAGCAGGAAGTGGGGAAGCTAGGTGCTGCCCTGGAAAATGGCTGCTAGAGCTCTGAAGCCCTAGGGATCTGATGACTCAGCCCAGAGCACCTGCACTGTATTTTCCAGGGGTGTAGATCCACTATGGAGCATCTTTGCATCTAAGATACATGCAGATGCTGTTTTGCAAAGTGCTTTGAGCTGAGCAGGAAGTTCTGAGGGCAAACCAGAGGGTTGTGTTCCCAGATGCCATTGGTGTTGGAGCCAGAGAGGAGGAGTCTGGACCCAGGGAAAGCACCCTGATTTGGTTCAGCAAGAAACAGTTTCCTATCTCCGCTGCTAACTATGAGGTAGCATTGGTCATTTCCGCCAGGACTATTCCCCAGCTTTTTTTCTCTCTGTCATCTGCTCCTGGCTCATCAAATTCGTTTAAGCCACAGGGTTTATGGGATCCTCATTGCACATGGGTTTAAACAGTGAGCCACCCTAAGGGTTTCTGTCAGAAGCAGCTAATTCTCAGACCCAAAGGGAAGCTATGGTGATGGAATTGCCATCTATCCTACTAGTGAGGCTCGGAGGGCAGAGATCACTGGTAAAGAATTTACAGGTATAAAGGATATTTCTACTAGAACTTGAAAACTGAAATAAACATCCAGCCATCATCAGGGCTGTGGTTATGCAGTCATGTAAAGTCACTGGTTGGCCTGCCACGAGGGATGTCGTCTCATTCTTGTGTATTTGTGTATGTTCCTGAATGCACATGTGTACTCAGTGTATATATGCAGGTATATATGCATATGTATTTGTGTGTATGGGGAGGTAAAAGTCACCTGCAGATGTTATTGTTCAGATGATGCCCTTCTTGGTTTCTGAGACAGGGTCTCTGGTTGAAACTTGAGCTCACTAATTCAACTGGACTGGCTGTCCGGTGAGCCCCAGGATCCAGCTGTCTCAGCTCTCTCCTCAACAGTGAGACTGAAAGCTTTCACTACCACTTCTGGCTTTTTTGGGTGGGTTCTGGGGACTGAGCATCTGCATCACATTACTGACTGAACCATCTCTCAGTCCGTCCATGCAATCTTGTTCCTGCACTATGAATGGTATACTGCTTCCTTCTCTGACACCACACCTTCTCTAGCTTGGCTGTACTTAGGATGTGTATTCTGCACTGTGAATTCACCAAATGTTGCTTCAGTTTTAGGGACACTGGGCAATTCTTCCCAGAAGACTCTGCATTTGGTGGCCATCGTATTCCTGGTCCTGAGTCTGGGAGCTTCCTTATTGAGCTTAGTGTTTACCTTCTACAACAGCATCAGCAACCCTTACCAGACGTTCCTAGGTCCTACAGGCGTCTACACCTGGAACGGACTCAGTGGTGAGTTTCCTGAGAAGACTCATGGACACATACATGTGCACACATTCACATGGGCATACACATGCATACACATGTACACATGCACACATAAGTGTACATGTATGCACACTGATATGTGCTCATGCACACACGATCACATATTGCTCTCCTTCTTGCCTTCACAAGGGGCAAGAGGCAACTTGGACTCCAGAGATGCCACACCTGGGAGGCTAAGTCACAGACCAAGGGAGGATGCCATCCAGGCCAACACTCTTCTTATGGGCTTGGATGCTGTGTGGTTGCTAGGTGATTTTGTTATTTTGTGAGTGGGTACCTGGGTGGAGGATGGAGTCCAGATGGAAAGTGGATCCTGCTGTGACTCAGTAAAAGACTGTGGGTTTTGTCCATGCACTGCAGCCCCCACATCTGCCTAGTGAGAGTGAGATCCAGAGGCTAAGGGACTTGGTTACAAATCCAGATAAAGGTTCCTAGTGTCAAGGGCCTTCCACCAGCTACCAGACCTTACTCACTGCTAGGGTGAATAACAAATTTCTCTTAGTTTGTTCATGTAACTCAGAGACAACAGAAGCAGAGGCCTCAGACATGGCTAGATTTGGAGATAGTGTCCTGTGAAGTCTGTTTCTTTTCATCACTACATACATTGATTTTCCAGAGTGTTTTCTGTAGCTACACAGTTCAGTCCTCTTGAAGGTCAATTATCTGTATGCATCCTGGAATGTGCCGGCAGAAGCTCTAGAGGAAAGGCCTGCCATTTCCCAGAAGTCTGGAGAGCATACTGGGCCCAGTTCTCATGGACTCACCCATTGACAGGCCCTGGCCATCTTTAAAACCAAGAAAGATACAGTGACCCATCAGATTGGCTAGGAACAGGTGTCTGTACTAGAGCTGGATCCAGGGTCAGCTGTTCTCCAGTCTCTGAGGCACATGGGGGAGGAGGAGAGTTTCCCTGAGGAGAAGGGAAGATGATAGGAGGCTAGGTTGGGCCTGTACTGCCCTGTCTGCAGGCCATGGGGCTTCCATCTGGCCCCACACATGTCTGTAGAGGAAAACAGGAAAAGGAGTCTGGACAGTGCCCCACTCAGCCTGCCTATATCTAGCCACAAAGAGCTATGTTGTGGGGAGAGAGTTCCCCTCATAGTCCTTCTGCCTCAGGGGTATATTCTGATACAGAGAGGGAGGCAGTGAGGCCAGCATTAAAGCCACTAGTAAGGGGTGTGTAAGGGGCAGGTATGCATTCTGACCTGGGTTTGGAGGAGGCAAGCATAGGAGTTGGGGGTAGCTTTTTGTGTCCCAGTGCTCAGTAAGCCAGATTCTGTCCTCGTACACCCCCAGCGTTTAGTGAAAACTGGTTTGCAAGAGGCTAATCCTAAGGAGACACTTCTGTTTGTCAATGGCAAGGAAAGCTTCCTGGCCTTCGGGACATTGTGAGGAAGGACTGGTGTCAGACTGACTTGAAGGCCCTGGGGCCAATGAGAATGCTACAATCCCCTGCGGAGCTTGGCTTGCCCATGCTCTCCTGGCCTGCAGGAGGTGAGCAGGCCCAGTGTGTAGAATAGGAAGTGGATTGCCTGGTTGGTTTCTGATGGACAGAAATAGCAATAACACTCACTGCCTGAGGCTTGTGCCCCATGACCTCAACTCATACTGGCCCCAGTGTGGCCCGGGTTAGCCACAGGGGATTTTAAGGTAGGTGGGGAGAAGGTTGGATCCAGAGAAAGTGCCACAAGCCATCTGCTCCAGACATACTGTCCCTCAACTGGAGAACACAGAAATCAATGAGTGGATGTCATAGCACAATAGGGATGGACCCCACCTTTAAAAACAGCCTTTAAGAACAGCTCACTATTGCCTGCCCTCCCCAGCCTCCAGCAGCCCTTCAATCTACAGCTCTGAAGAAGCTGTGCAGCTAGATTAGGAGATGGGAAGACCCTACCACCACCCAAGTGAGTTCAAGACCTCTCTGGCTGCAGAAAGAGTTCAAGGCCCTGATCCACATAAATAATGAAAAGAGGGCCGGGGTGTGGTTCAGTGCTAGAGCTCTTGCTTACTACTTTCAAGGTTCTATATTTAAATTCCAATACTTCAGAAAAAAAAAGAAGGGAGGGGGAGAAGGAGGGAGGGAGGGAGAGAAGGAGGAAAGGAAGGAAGGAAGGAAGGAAGAAAGGAAGGAAGGAGGAAGGAAGAAAGGAAGGAAGGAAGGAAGGAAGGAAGAAAGGGTAAGCAATTAACCAGAAGCATTGTGGAGCCCATGGCTCCAGGCATCTGCCTCTAAGGGGCCCAGATAGGCAAGGTGTCTGAGGTGTCTGCATGCTAGCTCTTCCCTGTGCAAATCAAAGCTCCAGACAATTCACTTTAGGGTAAAGGAATTAACCTTGTGTTCATTCCACCCCTTTATGATTAATTAAGCTTTTATTAGAAACTTCACAAGAGGAAAATGAAGGATAATGAAGGTGCAAGAGGCGCCCAGTGAGCATCAGAGGAACAGGACTTTTGTTCATGCAAATAATTAAGAAATGAAGGCATTATTTTGTGGGTGAGGTGTGTCATCAAGGGTTGTTCAAACATTCTCCTCATGCAAACCCTCCTAATTAGCTTCCCTCAAGGTGCATTTGGATTGGGACACAGCAGATGCCCGAGACTTCACTGAGCTGCACACGTTCTGTGTTGATCAGCAAATCAAGGATCCCAGACAGACTTCATCCTGGGCATTCCCCTGATGTGTCAGAGCCCACCTGGGTGTGAGCATCCGTCCTCACCCTCATCTTCCTCCCAAAGTTTTCTCATTCCAGAGTTCCTGGTATACGAATCACCTGCCACTTATATTACCCACTTAAAACACGTCGCCTGTTGCTTTTGAGCATGTTCTTAGCCACTGCGGGAATCACTACCATTATTTTCCATATGTTTTCACCAGAGACCTCATGTCTCCTGGTGACTATTTTCCTCTCGCCCACCTAAGCAACTGTAAGTCTGCTTTGCTGTAGATACTTCCTGGTTCAAGGCCACACTTGGCTGAGCCATGGGGAGTGGAGTTGACTGGAAGAGCTATGTAGCACTTGTAGCACATATCTAGCACTTGAGAGCCTGTGGCTCTCTTTCTGCTGATGGGCCTCACTCCTTCAGCTGGGGGTGGCCCACTGCCCACCACTGCTCTTGTGGAGGTGGCTTCTTCCACCTGTAATGCTGGTGTTTCCCCAAGTCTCCCTTTGGCCATTCACACCTCCCCATACCCACCCTCCATCTCTTGCCCACTCTCTCAGACCTGCTGCATACATGGCCCTGGGGCATAGGCTGTGTGTGGGCCAGTCGCCCAGCCACAGCTTCTGATGGGATCTGAACCTGCAGGTTAGATACTGCCCTGAACGATATTTAGAATTTAGTGCCTAGAATCTAATTTTTTTTTCTTACTTCTTTTTTTTATTTATTTATTTATTTATTTATTTATTTATTTATTTTTCTTTTTTTAAAATTTAATTTATTATTTTACATGTTGATCCCAGTTCCCTCTCCCTCCCTCTCTCTTACCCTCTATGCCTCCTCACATGAACCCTGACCACCCTCCCCTCCCATCCCCCCACCCCAATTCCACATGTAGGGCAATGCCATCCAGGTGGGGTCATGTAGATCTGACAGGTCATTTGAAGTAGGGGTCAGGACTTCTCTCCTGTCTCTAGGTTAAGGCAGATATCCCTCCATGGGGGATGTGTTTGCAAGGTCCTTTTGTGCACCAGGGATACATCCTGGTTCCACTGTCTGAGATCCCTTAGACTGCTCAGTCCTTCTGGCTGAGACCCATATTCAGGGGGGCCTGAGTCAGTCCCCAGCTATCAGTCTGGGGGCCATTAGCTCCTCTTTGTTCAGGTCAGCTGTCTCTATGTGTTTCTGCATAGAAGTCTTGTCCTCTCCATCTGCATCTGGGTTCTAGTTCAACTCAGTGTTTAGGTATGGGTGTTTGCTCCTGTTTCCAACAGGTGTTAGATGAGGGCTCCATGGATAAGTTAGTTGTTGATCTCACTATCTGGGAAGGGCATTTATGGTAGGTAGCCTTTCCACGGAAGCTCACATTGTTGGTTGGCGGCAGTCTTGTAGGTCTCTAGACCTTTCTTTAGGTTCAGTTTTCTCTTCAAACCAATATTGGCTCCCTCTTTTATGTTCTCTCTCTCTCTCTCTCTCTCTCTCTCTCTCTCTCTCTCTCTCTCTCTCTCTCTCTCTTCTGTCTTCTATTCCTAGCCTGACTCAATCTTCCTAGTCGCACATGTTTTCCTCTCCTCCCCTTCATTTTCTCCTACTTCTGTCTCCATTCACTGACCCCCCCACTTCCCCTGTGCTCCGAGGGACTTGTCCTTTCCCGCTTCTGTGAGGGACTTTATATGAATCTCTTAGAATACACCTTGTATCCTAGTTCCTCTGGTGGTGTGAATTACAGGCTGGTGATCCTTTGCTCTAGGTCTAAAATCCATATATGAGCAAGTACATACTACTTCTTATTTTTACATTCTCCTTCTTCCTGAAATGCTGTAAAATCCCAGGTAGCTAGTCAATAACTACCTATGGATTATGCATTCCATAAAGAAAATAAGTGATATTAAAAATTCCCAGTGTGTGTGTGTGTGTGTGTGTGTGTGTGTGTGTGTGTGTGTGTGTGTGCGCGCGCGCGCGCGCGCCTGTGTTGGAGAAATAACTCAGAAATTAAGAGTGACTGCTGCCCGGTCCCTAATCATAAGTGCCTAAGTTGGAATGCCCCACTCCCCACCCTGCCTTGGGTGGTTCATAAACACCTCTAACACCTTCTCTAAGGGATCTGATGTCCTACTCTGGTCCCTGTGGGTGGCTACCTACACATATGTGTGCATACACACACACACACACACACACAGACACATGCTCATATAAATATAAATAACTTTAAAATATACATCACAAAGACAGATAGGTGGCTCGGTGAATAAAGTGATTGCTGTAAGGAAATAAGGACCCAAGTTCAGATTCCCAGCACCCAAGAAAAAGGCCAGGAAGAGTGGTGCACATCTGTTACCATACCCTTGAGTGGGCAGTTACGGGGAGATGGGGATCTTGGAGGCTTGCTACTGAAACAGGGAGCTCCAGCTTCTGTGGGAGACTCTGTCACTCTGCAAAAATAAATGCATAAGTAATGAGAGTGATAGAAAAAACACTTGGTGGTGTCCTTTGGCCTACACATATGTGTATATATGTGTGTGCACATTCAGACACATACCACAGAAAGACACATACATGCATCATCCATTCACACATGTACAGACAGCAATAATGTTAAGAATGCCTCCTTGTATCATTTATGAGGCTCAATCTTCTTTTCAGCATCCTTTGTGTTCCTGACCATGGTACTGTTCGTGGGGAATACTGAGTCCAACCATCTCTCAGAAGAACTGTCCCAGAAGTTTTATCCAGAGGTCACCATTGAGAGAACAACCCATACTTACGGATACTCATTTTGGCTCGTTCTGCTTGTCATCCTTCTGAATATTGTCACCGTGGTCATCATCATTTTCTATCAGAAGGCCCGATATCAGCAGAAGCAAGAGCAGAGGAAGCCAGTGGAATATGCTTCCAAGGACGGTATTTTATTCTGAGTTCTGTCTCACATCACATTTGCACTATTTCTGACAGTAGTAACTGGCTAGCTCCCTGGACAATCTGCATGGCAGAGTGATGGTCCAGTGTGATAGCTTCTGTAACCATGACACCATGTTCTTCCTAGACAATGCTTGCACATTTCACCATGGATATCCCCCTGGCCTGGGAAGAGTTTTTTCATGATGGCAGGGAAATGAGTGGGGAAGTCTATGGTCTAGAGTGTTTCAAGGGGTGTGGTCTGGGGCCTACAGCCCTTCCCTATTGGCCTCCTTATCTCCAGTAATAAAGGCCTGAGTTTTTTGTCTTCCTGTGGCCAGTTTAAAGTACTGTAGCCCCCATGATCTTGTCCTTAGGATCAGTTATTTTACTCTACTACAAGAATAAAGGCTTTTAGGTACATAGGCATTCTGAACTCGTTTATTCAGAGTCAAGAGTTAGATACAGAAGGATAGAGGATGAAGTGACCTTGTGCTGTGGTTCTTCAGTGGCAGTCCTGCCTTGCAGGCTTTGTTCATTTAATGAGGGTTAGACACAAGTAGAACTCAGGCCTTGGGAAACCCTGCATGAACAGGTTAGAGGTGAAATATAGTCACGGTGGTCAGTTTTTCAGTAGACAAACAATCAGCGAAAAGGAGAAGGCACCAGAATTTATTCTACATGTTGTTCCGGAAAGATAGTTCCTTTGAAAATCTCATTGAGAACCCTTCAGCCTTGACAAGCCAGTGACAAGGAGTGGATCTTATGAAGTCCTCAAGAATAAATGGCCCCTAACACTCAGACTTAGACAATGTGAGCAGCAGCATGCTGAAGCCTCACCCTCATGGAGTTTACTGGCAGGCCGTCCAGTCAGACATTTAATGAGCACTTACTTGACTCCAGTTAAAACAGTTGCTTAGAGTTGGGGGCATCCCTCCATTGTAGAACACTGAAGTGCCCAGTGTGTGCAAGGCCCTGGGTTCCATCTCTAGCTTTGTAAAAATGAAACAAACATGTAGTTACAAAATTGTGCTGTGTTTTGAAGGGACAGTCTTGATCACAGTCCACCTTGAAGACCTAATAATTCAAGATTACTCTTACCTATTAAACTATTACAAGTTTACTAACTTCATTTCCTTCATGTGTGCACATGTGCAAAGGCCATGATGTGTGTGTCTGTGTGTCTCTTTGTGTTTGGAGATCAGATGACAAGTTTCAGGAGTTGATTCTGTCCTTCTACCATGTGAGACCTGGGGATCAAACTCAGGCTCAGTGGAAAGTATATTTACCTACTGTGGCATCTTGTGGACCTACTATTAAATTATTATTTAATTTGGATTTAGGCAACAATGGCTTAGTGGGCAAAAGTTATTGCCACCAAACCTTATGACCCTCGTCCATTTTTTAATGACCTGCATAGTGGAAAGAAAGAGCTGGTTCCTGCAAGATGTCCTCTGACCCCCATTCTTGAGTTTTGGCATGTGCATGTCCATAGCCACAGCCATACTTCTCTATATAATGCACAAATTAAATACATGAAAATAAAACAAGAAAAATTTAAATTACTCATTATTGTTCATCATATGTATCTATAACTATGTATCTATATCTATTTATATCCATACTTGTGTATCTATATGGTTTTTGAGACAGGGTTTCTCTCTCTTTTTTCTTTTACAATAAGTTTATTGAGTAAAACACACATTGAAAAAATCTATTATCTATTAAGACTCTATTAGCATAATATGAGGCTTTAAGTTAAAGGTTTTCATGTGAATCTTTTATTTATTTATTTATTTTTCTTATTTTACATATCAATCCCAGTTCCCTCTCCAATTCTCCCTCTCTTCCACTCTCCTATGCCCCCCCCCACCCTCCCATCCCATTCCCCCCACCACTCCTCATATAGGGTGATGCCTTCCTGGAGGGGTCAGCTAAATCTGTCAAGTCATTTGGAGTAGGGACTAGGGCCTCCCTCCTTCCCTTAGGTTAAGGGAGTATCCCTCCATGGGGAACGTGCTCCCAAAGTCTTTTTGGGCACCAGGGATACATCTTGGTTCCACAGTCAGAAGTCCCTTAGACTGCCCGGGCCTTCTAACTGAGACCTGTGTTCAGGGGGTCTGAGTCGGTCCAATGCTGGATTCCCAGCTATCTGTCTGGGGGCCCATTGGCTCTTCCTTGTTCAGATCAGCTGTCTCTCTCTGTGGGTTTCTGTAGCCTGATCTTGTCCTCCCTCTCTGCATTTGGATTCCAGTTTGGCTCAGTGATTAGCTGTGAGTATCTGCTTCTGTTTCCATCAGCTACTAGACGAAGGCTCTAAGATGGTGGATATATTAGTCATCAATCTCATTATCATGGAAGGGCATTTATGGTAGCCTTTCCACCAGGGATTCTCTTTGTAACCTTAGTTATTCTGGAACTTTCTCTGTAGACCAGGCTGGCCTTGAATTCACAGAGATCCATCCGCCTCTGCCTTCTGAGTACTGGCATTAAAGGCATGCGCCATCTCCACCCAGTTGGAAGATATTTTTAAAATATGATCATAAGCATTAAAAATATTTTAAACTCTGAGTCTAAAAATTCTTGTGTTCTTTAAAGGCCCAAGTTTTCTGTTGAATTTTTGATAATGTGGTTATGTAGTAAAGAGAAAACAGATGTGGGTAACAAGGTCGAGCAACAAGTGGCTAAATAGGGCCTCCTATAACCCACTGCTATGGGAATATTGCAGTGCGGGAAGAGCACTACATCTGTTCATCTTGCCGTATCGTCAGAGCAGTGTTTCCCTAGGAAACAAATTGTCTTACTCCTTATCTTGCAAATGACCTTTAAGGAACCATGGCAAAGCTAGGAATCAGGTGAACAGAATTCTACCTTATAAGGAGACATGAGGTAAGGAACCGTTGCTATCTGTGAAGGTGGAAGGTGGTGAACTCACATGTGTCCAGTAAATCTCCCTAAGCAAGGACCAAACACTGCTCTTTCATGGAGGATCCACCCAGGCCTCCTCTTCCAGCCCTGAGAGCAGTATTTCAGTGAATACCCGAGACAATGAAGTGGATGAGCTTTCCCTTTCAAGGCTGTTGAATAGTAATTTGTGGTCCAAAAACTACTAACTAGTGTGCATCCACTTACATTTCTGGAGTGGATCCACCTGAAAAAAATCTTTTTTAAAAAATAAATAAAGTATTCCATAGAATGGCAGTGTGTTACAAGCATGTTTTCCTGCCAGCCTGGTCCCATAGCTGCACCAGCCCCAAATAACACACATAAAGCTATTGGCCTGTTACTAGCGTTTCTTATTGGCTAGCTCTGTCTTAAATATTAACCCATTTCTATCAATCTAAGTACTTCCACGTGGTCATATCTTACCGGAGAGAGGGTCCGGAGTTCTGCTCTCTTGGTCCTACATGTTGAATCCTCCTACCTCTCCCTGATTCTTCTTTGTCTCCTAGTCCTGCCTATTTTGCTTTCCTATTCGCCAACAGTGCTTTTATTCATTAACCAATAAGAGAAACATATTTACAGAATGACATCTCCCATCAGCAATGTTTCAGTGGTCACACTATGACCCCCTTGGTAAACTACATAGTTAGTCAGGTGGTGGCCCATGCCTGTGATGCCATTTCTTGTGAAACAGAGGGTTGTCACAATCTAGAAGTCAGTCTGGTATGTTGGGTGTTCCAGGCCAGGGCTTCAAAAAGACTGTAGTGGTTTGAATGACTTAAGTATTTTAATACTTGGCCCCCAGTTGGTGGCACTTCTGCAGGAGGTTATGGAACCTTTAGGGGATTGAGCCTTGCTGGAGGAAGTAAGTCACTGGGGTAGACCTCGTTTCACTTCCGTTTGCTCTCTTTGCTTCCTACTTCCGGTGTCTGCCCTGCCAGTTGCTGCCATGCCTCCCTGCCATTACGGACGCTCCTTCTTAAATTATAAATCCAAATAAAATCTTTCTTTTTAAGTTGCCTCGGTTGTGATCTTTTTTTTTTTTCTTTCTTTCTTTTTTTCAAAGTAACATAAAAATAATTAGTCCAGATGGCCTTTCCTCAAGCAAGCAAGCATACAAACAAAAACACTACTTTGTCTTGTGATGGGGGTGGGTTACAAGGTTCATCCACATTTGTAAAAGAAAGAAAATAAAGCACTATGCTCACCAGGTGTGCTGCTACATGCCTGTATTCTCAGCATTTTTGGAAACTGGGGCAGAAAGATCAAGAATTCCAGGCAAGTCTGGGCTACTTAGCAAGATATTCAGGGATAAAAAACAAAAAGAAATGGAAAGAAGTGTGTAAATAAATGAGATATTATGCTCACTGACAATAAGAACATGACATTTAGGATGATAACTTCAGAGAAATTATACTTTGCACAATATCAAAAGGACTGGGCTACTGTGATCAGCCAGTGTTTGCAAAGCATTGTGGGAGCTGGGATGCAGGATGTGAAATCTGCCCACATCAGAATTTGGTTTTATTATTTCAGCAATCTTAGGAGTTGTGTGGAAATGGAACCTGTGTCCTCTTGGACATGGCATTCAGTGTGTGTGAGTGTGTTGGGGGATGTTTCCAAATCACAATCCTACATCCAGCCTCTGTGATCACATAGTTTTTGGCAACCTCTAAATGTCACAATAAAATTGGAAGTATCCATCTCAGCCTCCTCTTGCATTCTGAAGCCTGTCAGAGGCCTGAGCACTGAGAAGGTCAGGCTAAGTCCCTCAGAGTTGCTCTCCATGTATAACTAGTGCTCCTCAGGACCTTCTTTCTCTTAAAGGGGAGCCAGCTCATGGATTTCTGTGTGGGCTTGAAGTCAATTCACCATCGCCTAATGTCTTGTCTTCTACAATCCAGATAAGCAACTGACCCAGTGTGTAGAAAACAAAGCTGACATTCCAGCTTGGAGAGGAGTGGGCCTTCTTGGTCCCTTAGCAGCTCTGTCCTTCCCCAACCAGGTAACACAGAACCCCAAGAACTCAGGGTGTTTGGAGAGACAAGGCTACCAGCCAGTGTGTGGAAGCTGACCCCTCATGCAGCTGAAGAATTGTGCTGTAGCCTAGGTGTCTTGACTCTCAGTATTTGGATGTCAGGCTGGAGAAACATTATGGTAGCTTTGCTACTTCACTGCCAGCTGTGGGA